ATACCAGGGGCCTATAGATTTTAGATTTTATGTCGGATCTATAGTATTAGTGCTACACAAACCTGATACCAGGGGCCTATAGATTTTAGATTTTGTGTTGGATCTATAGTACTAGTGCTACACAAGCCTGATACCAGGGGCCTATAGATTTAAGATTTTGTGTTGGATCTATAGTACTAGTGCTACACAAACCTGATACCAGGGGCCTATAGATTTTAAATTTTATGTCGGTTCTATAGTACTAGTGCTACACACAAGCCCAATACCAGGGGCCTATAGAGTTAAGATTTTATGTCGGATCTATAGTACTAGTGCTACACACAAACCTGATACCAGGGGCCTATAGAGTTAAGATTTTATGTCGGATCTATAGTACTAGTGCTACACCCAAGCCCAATACCAGGGGCCTATAGATTTTATGTCGGATCTATAGTATTAGTGCTACACAAACCTGATACCAGGGGCCTATAGATTTTAGATTTTATGTCAGATCTATAGTACTAGTGCTACACACAAGACCAATACCAGGGGCCTATAGATTTTAGATTTTATGTCGGATCTATAGTATTAGTGCTACACAAGCCCGATACCAGGGGCCTATAGATTTTATGTCAGATCTATAGTACTAGTGCTACACAAACCTGATACCAGGGGCCTATAGATTTCAGATTTTATGTCGGATCTATAGTACTAGTGCTACACAAGCCTAATACCAGGGGCCTATAGATTTTAGATTTTATGTCGGATCTATAGTACTAGTGCTACACAAACCTGATAACAGGGGCATATAGATTTTAGATTTTATGTCGGCTCTATAGTATTAGTGCCACACAAGACCGCTACCAGGGGCCTATGTTCTATAGTACTAGTGCTACACAAACCTGATAACAGGGGCATATAGATTTTAGATTTTATGTCGGCTCTATAGTATTAGTGCCACACAAGACCGCTACCAGGGGCCTATGTTCTATAGTACTAGTGCTACACAAACCTGATGCCAGGGGCCTATAGATTTTATGTCAGATCTATAATACTAGTGCCACACAAGCCCGATACCAGGGGCCTAAAGATTTTATGGCAGATCTATAGTTCTAGTGCTACACACGCCCGATACCAGGTGCCTACAGATTTTAGATTTTATGTCAGATCTATAGTGCTACACAAGCCCGATACCTGGGGCCTATAGATTTTAGATTTTATTTCAGATCTATAATACTAGTGCTACACAGGCCCGATACCAGGGGCCTATAGAGTTAAGATTTTATGTCGGATCTATAGTTCTAGTGCTACACACGCCCGATACCAGGTGCCTACAGATTTTAGATTTTATGTCAGATCTGTAGTACTAGTGCTACACAAGCCTGATACCTGGGACCTATATATTTTAGATTTTATGTCAGATCTCTAGTACTAGTGCTACACAAGCCTAATGCCAGGTGCCTATATATTTTAGATTTTATGTCAGATCTTTAGTACTAGTGCTACACAATCCCGATACCAGGGGCCTATAGATATGATGTCAGATCTATAATACTAGTGCTACGCAAGCCCGATACCAGGGACCTATAGATTTTATGGCAGATCTATGGTACTAGTGCTAGACATGCCCGATACCAGGGGCCTATAGATCTTAGATTTTATGTGGGATCTATAGTATTTGTGCTACACAAGCCCGATACCAGGGTAGTATTAGTGCTACACAAGCCCGATACCTGGGGCCTATAGATATTTTGTCAAATCTATAGTACTAGTGCTACACAATCCTGATACCAGGGGCCTATAGATTTCAGATTTTATGTCGTATCTATAGTACTAGTGCTACACAAGCACTATACCAGGGGCTTATAGATTTTATGGCAGATCTATGGTACTAGTGCTAGACATGCCCGATACCAGGGGCCTATAGATATGATGTCAGATCTATAATACTAGTGCCACACAAGCCCGATACCAGGGGCCTATGTTCTATAGTACTAGTGCTACACAAGCCGGATACCTGGGGCCTATATATTTTAGATTTGATGTCAGATCTATAGTACTAGTGCTGCACAAGCCTGATACCTGGGGCCTATATGTTTTACACATGCTACACAAGTCCGATATCAGGGGCCTATAGATTTTATGGCAGATCTATGGTACTAGTGCTACACATGCCCGATACCAGGGGACTATAGATTTTAGATTTTATGTCTGATCTATAGTACTAGTGCTACACAAGCACTATACCAGGGGCTTATAGATTTTATGGCAGATCTATAATACTAGTGCTACGCAAGCCCGATACCAGGGGCCTATAGTTTTTATGTCAGATCTATAGTACTAGGGCTACACAAGCCTGATACCTGGGACCTATATATTTTAGATTTTATGTCAGATCTGTAGTACTAGTGCTACACAAGCCTAATACCAGGGGCGTATAGATTTTAGATTTTATGTCGGATCAATAGTACTAGTGCTACACAACCCCGATACCAGGGGCCTATAGATCTTAGATTTTATGTGGGATCTATAGTATTTGTGCTACACAAGCCCGATACCAGGGGAGATTTTATGTCGGATCTATAGTATTAGTGCTCCACAAGCCCGATACCAGGGGCCTAAAGATTTTATGGCAGATCTATAGTACGAGTGCTACACAAGCCCGATACCAGGGTAGTATTAGTGCTACACAAGCCCGATTCCAGGGGCCTATAGATTTTAGATTTTATGTGGGATCTATAGTATTAGTGCTACACAAGCCAGATACCAGGGGCCTATAGATTTTCCATTTTATCTCGGATCTATAGTATTAGTGCTACACAAGCCAGATACCAGGGGCCTATAGATTTTACATTTTATGTCAGATCTATAGTACTAGTGCTACACAAACACGATACCAGGGGCCTATAGATTTCAGATTTTATGTCGTATCTATAGTACTAGTGCTACACAACCCCGATACCAGGGGCCTATAGATTTCAGATTTTATGTCGTATCTATAGTACTAGTGCTACACATGCCCGCTACCAGGGGCCTATAGATATTATGTCGGATCTATAATACTAGTGCTACACAAGCCCGATACCTGGGGCCTATAGATTTTAGATTTTATTTCAGATCTATAATACTAGTGCTACGCAAGCCCGATACCAGGGGCCTATAGTTTTTATGTCAGATCTATAGTACTAGTGCTACACATGCCCGCTACCAGGGGCCTATAGATATTATGTCGGATCTATAATACTAGTGCTACACCAGCCCGATACCAGGGGCCTATAGATATTATGTCATATCTATAATACTATTGCTACACAAGCCCGATACCAGGGTAGTATTAGTGCTACACAAGCCCGATTCCAGGGGCCTATAGATTTTATGTCAGATCTATAGTGCTACACAAGCCCGATACCTGGGACCTATATATTTTAGATTTTATGTCAGATCTCTAGTACTAGTGCTACACAAGCCTGATACCTGGGGCCTATATATTTTACACATGCTACACAAGTCCGATATCAGGGGCCTATAGATTTTAGGTTGGATCTATAGTACTAGTGCTACACAAGCCCGATACCTGGGACCTATATATTTTAGATTTTATGTCAGATCTATAGTACTAGTGCTACACAAGCCCGATACCAGGGGCCTATAGATATTATGTCAGATCTATAATACTAGTGCTACACAAGCCCGATACCAGGGGCCTATAGATTTTAGGTTGGATCTATTGTGCTACCAACAGCTTTCAACTACTGTATAACATGAAATGTTCGTCCTGTATAAACATTTGTGGTTGCTATTGAACCAAGAAAAAAAAATTCAACGACTTTGAATGATATACGTGTCTACTGTTTGTTAATATAGGATATTCATGAAAGTTTGTACCACGAAACGATCTAAATTAAAGCTTTAAACCACGAAGGAAAGTACCCACGAACATTTCCTGTTATACGGTATAACTATGAAAATGTATGTTTGGCTTGTAGAACTTTTTCAAAAACAAATTGTGGGCTAGCACTCTACATGTTCATATATACAATTGTATGTATATAATTTTATTCACTACTGTTTATATTTCATTCATATATTTCATGGATGTTTTCCTTGCAATGCATTGATATAAATTTGTAGATGAAAAAAAACAGCCTAATTATTCTTTTGCAGAGTTTAGTTTTATTATTGACAATATATTAATGATGTTGCAATATTCTATAACAGTAAATCTGTTTATTTCAAATATACATATTCAATGAAAAATGGACAATTAATCATTTTGCCATTGCTAGCCAAGAGATAACCGATTTCAAATATCTGAAAATTAATCATTGTAAAACCCAGTTTACAAAATGTATATAGTTAGATTAACCCTTTCACCACTGTAGACCATAATGGACTCATCTAGTTGAAAGTATGGTAGAGACGTCTAATAAAGACACCTAGGGGTGAAGGGTTAAGAGACATATATTGCCTCTGGCACCAGATATGTACCAGTATTTAACACGACTGGATGTAATGATCTTGATTCACATGGCCTAGCTAGCTACTATATCAAGTTTACACTCAGTAATTACTACTGTATAATACATGTACAATATGCAGTCTCATGAGAACATGCTGCATATTAGAACGTACAAAAAGAATCTTTTAGAGTTGGTATAAAATTATTACATATTTGGTAAGTCAAAGAGGGGGAAAGTATCATAATTGCTTTTAAATCTTGCAAAGCTGTATACATCCATTTCACATGACATGGACTTCATCTGCTAAGTAATAACATATACAGGTATATAAATGATATGATGTTTATCTTGTGATTAAAGCAGTGGTTCTTGTGTTTACATTTCAACTACTTAACCAACTGTTTTAAGATATACATCGTACTAGTGTCTCTACTTTTTTTACACACATATATTCACGATATCCAATTTGTAGTCTGGGTAGCTGATTAGTTGTCATGTGTATAATCTTACTTAGAAAATAGTAGTGCATGGAATAGCCATCCACATTTAAAGTGTACTGACCAATACTCTTTGTTCCCATTTCTCAAGTTTGACTTCTTGCTTCACCATACGTTTGATGAACAGCTTGACCCTTTTCCCCAGAGCCTCACGTATGCTGTCTGTGAAGGTGAAAATAAGGGAAAACTATTAATGACATGTAAAACTTAGTTTGAATCAAGGATTATCATGGTTATTATCACTACATGTCAAAAAATAGTTTAAGATGCGTACCATTATGTTTTAACCAATTATTGTTTTCACATTCCTTAATAAGTGTACATAGCATGTGCTAGAATAGGAAATAATATTCACAAAAATGTTATTAGTTGAAAACACATTTTTTTTTTTAATTCCCTGGCAAATGAAGAAATTTAGTCAAGAACTCTTCTTTGTAACATCCATAATAATTTGTTATTGGAAGTAACAGGTTCTTTTATCTTTTTATAAGAGTGCTGTTAGTTACACATGAAAGGGGCTATTTAGTCAAAGGACAACCTGAAAATAGTGTTGATACTCAAAGTATATATCTCCTAACGCAGTTGATAGTGACATGACCTGAAGCCAACGTCCAGTGTGGTCAGTTTGATCTTTTGGGAAACCCTGTGATAAAAATCGCTACGACCAAAATAACGCAATATCCAGGCCTTTCAGAGCAAAGTAAATATGTACAGCACTACGCTGTCGACCTACAGCTAATTGTCAGTTAGGAATCTGAGTTCACACATAACACATTCTTGAATTTACACCTGTAGTGCATCACAAATAAGAATAATAAGTATCAAAATATTTACCTTTAATCAGATATTTCTGTTCACTTTTGGATTTGAATAAAAAACGATTAGGTTCAATTTGAGCATGAGCGCACTGAGAGGGTGCCGCAGGGAGAATTTTAAACCGCAGAGAGTACATATGATATCAATAGCTTTAAATGTAAAATAGATAACTCATTCATAACGATGTTTGAGATGCTGTTGGAAGATGATTATGATTCAGAATAAACGCATGTACTAGTATTCCAAAGAGGCTAGGTGAATAAAGTGAGAATTTACCCTCCCCTCGGCTGGAAAGACATTTGTTAGCTGGAATTCACCAACAGCTGCCGCTAAAACGTACTGCTGTACATACAGTTAAGGGTTTTCTCCATTACTGATTAAAAATGCCAAAATAACATTGTCTCTTAATTAGTAATTGTCGATTTCTGGACGATAATTGTTCATAAGGAGTTTCAAACTATGTATATATTATCATGAAGAATATTTTGTGACAAGGTTATAATAAAAACTTTCTTCACTAAATTGTCCCTTTAATTGTGTAACAGGAAAGAGAATAGTGGGCTTCCATTGGGGAACGAACCCTCGATCTTCAGGTTCCTAGTCAGACGCTCTACCACTGTGAGCTAAAGGGAAATTTCCTCTAGCTGGAAGCTGGAAGGCGACCTTAAACCTATGTTCAATTAAAACCTGCCACACTACTCCCTCCTTTTTAAATGTATTCGCCCTCGAACACCACAACCCAGGTTCTTACTCGATCCCTGTCACCACAGGCAGGGCCACGGACACCATTTGTAACAGGAAAGAGAATAGTGTGCTTCCACTTGGGATCTAACCCGCGATCCCCAGGTTTCTAGTTGGACTCTGTACTCTGAGCTAAAGGGAAATTCCCTCTAGCTCGAACCTAGAAGGCGACCTTAAACCAATGTACAATTAAAACCTGCTACAATTGTATGTCTTAACGCATCTTTATTCTCACAATACACATGAATCCATTTAAGTCTTAATGCAATACAATAATAACATACCTATCACAAATATTTAACACTTGCATTTGTTAAACTAGCGTAATCAGCTAAGCATTATTTTATTTACGGCATTTCATATATGGATGCATAAAGTGACAATGTGTCATTCATGCATGAATGCATACTACACATCAAAAAACAGTCAATCACCAAACATGTATCCCTCCTTGAACTGAAGTACCACGACACCGTCTAATAATAGCACTAGTATCACTTCACATCTTTAGAAACATATCTAAGAGTAACTAAGCATTGACCACTAATTTTGCCAAAAAAATCGTCCTATATCAGACGATTTCAGCGTAATCGCTGAATGTAAACATCACGGAAGTGTGCCTGAAGGCCTCTCACTCCTCGTATCAAGTAGGCGTGTCGTTTTTACCTTGTATGTCACGGGGCACATTGACGGATGCCATTTTGACAAACTGATGTTAGTGTCTATCAGCAACAGGGATAATCCCCAAACCAGACGAATCTGGAGAGGATTGCAACACCAATTGATTTAAAATCACAACACGGAAGCTGTCCTGCGAGCCTCACGTCGCCATGTTTTATGAGGAAGTGACGTATGGAGCGCGAGAGATTGATTATTTTCATGCTATTTTTAGAAACAATAACAAACCCACGTGGACGCAATACACAGATGCTGCTTTCCCGCCATTATTTCAACACTTCGGCAAAATTAAAGCTGTAATACTCGTCCGACTTTGCTTTGTTTTTAATAAATGGCTCGTTTATGTAAAGAAACACCCGGTCATACTTTTGTTGAGACATAACGAAAGCACTTGTATTTATGTCGAGTGCAAAGAGGTAATACCGGTTCGCTAGCTGCTGTGGAGGTCACGCCCTTAAGTCACGAATCAAAAGTAAATATAGAGATTTGTGAGATCTGAATGATGTCACACAAACACAGGAATGTAGTCAGGTTGCTAAATACTATAGGCTAGCTTTGTATCAACATAGCATGACATACATGGAGGTGGATGACTGGCAATTTTTCAGTCACTCACAGATTAAAACATTTCAATAAACGATGATTGTATATTTCTGAAAATTTAAGCCATACCACTGAAAGAAAGCTAGTGTTGAATACGTTTACGATAGATCATCTGGAATAAATCATTAATCGAAATTTCAAAAATTAGTTTTCATTAACTGTAGCTGATATCTCTATACATATTTACGTATGTACATCCTTGAGGAATATTTTGAAATGCAATATATTAAGTTCATTATCAGTTGATGTCATGTACAACATGGAAGAAATTAAAGAAATCTTTCACCAAGTGATTTTATTCTTACGGAAAATAAAATGAATCAATATATTATAGATGTGTCCAATTTCATTCTTTTTAATTTTATATAAATGTGGCTGGTGATGTTAGGGATGATCGCATCACGGCTGATGATTTCATCATTTCCAATTAAAAAAACCTGCCCAACATTGGAAAGAAGCATGAACGTTTATCACTTAGCACTTGACGTAAAAAGTCAACTGGTATCTACGGTAGATATGGTATCTTGTCTAAGCTATATACTGGCCTGTACCTAGTAATTAACAGGAGGAGTTAGCCTCTATGTGAGATAAAAAAAAAATCATTTTCTCTAATACCACAGACATAAATCGAATTCCATGGCTATACATGGCCAGCACTTAGTAACAGGAAGTGATAGCCATAGATAAGCTGCAGACCTCCGTGTCTGTAAGAAGTTTACCAAATAATCTCCAATCTTTAGAAACAGCAATGAGTGACCAAGTTGTTCAGGATTTTAACAATTTAATTTTAGCAGCATCCAAAGTGTGTTTTACCTGTCAGATCACTTTGTTGAGATTAGTTAAGGACTCGAACAGGACCTTGGACAAGTCTAAGGTATTTGATTTCGTCATGATAATTTACAAAGCTGGCTACATATGGGCATTATACATATACTGTGTCTAGGAATTGGGGTAATAGATAAACTACTGCAGGCTAAACTTGGTTTGAAACTCGTCGACTGGTTGGAAGTGCTTAAAAATGGTTCTCATGAGCTCAATAATGGGGCCATTGTGTTTACCTATCTTTATATATGACATCTTCCATGATACAGTAAGATCTTCCATATACAGCTCTTATATTTTTCTTCAAACAACCGTTGAATTCATGTAGCAATTAAGTTAATAGGTTTCACAAACATCACTCGAAAGTCAATCAAGATAAACTTCAGCTTTTAAGTATACTCAGAGGTAATACATTTGCTGAATTTAAAACGTTTAGGGATGTTTGATAATTCTATTTATAACTAGCTATTATAAAGGGTCTATTCGTTAAGCCTTAAAAGTGATACCATTGTTGTCCAGACATATTCTCTTTAAAATTTTGATGCGTTTGTCACTACGTGTTCATATTTTAGTCAGCTTTTCAAGTCCTCCAATACAGCACAGCCTTACATGTTCAGAGATTAAAATATCTGGAATGTGATTTTCATTTCACAAAAATAACATAAAAATTTCATATAATTTCAGTAATGAAACTCAATTTAACGTTTTAGCAGTAAACTTTAAGTATGTGATTTATAGACAAAATAAATTATCTTTTGAGGTAGTCGGGATGTGAAACAATCTCCTGAATGAATTTCGGAAACGTGGCACACTCGAGTTTATCCCAATTCTGATTGCTGTCTTTGTTTTAAAATGTCTGTTTAATGATTTGTTCTGTCAACTGCCTGTGTTTTAAAAGATACCTTAGTTTGTATATACTTGGTGTTTTTTCTGAGTGTTTTACCTCTATTTGCATACATTGTTTCGCTGTAAATATCTGTTACATACTCTCATTACTTCAGTATTGGCCAAAGGAATAGAATGGTATGGGTTGTCGAGTAGTCTGTGTGCTCTGATATATGGACCTATTATAAATAACGTGTTGTGAAGTATTTGTAATATATCTGTTCACTCTATTGTACATGTTTCACTGGATAACTTTTGATAAATATGACATGTGTAAAACTGTAGGGCCAGAGAGGTAGGGTTAACCTGACCACCAGGGAGGTAGGGTTAACCTGTACCACCAGAGAGCTAGGGTTAACATGTACCACCAGAGAGGTAGGGTTAACATGTACCACCAGAGAGGAAGGGTTAACATGTACCACCAGAGAGCTAGGGTTAACATGCACCACCAGAGAGGTAGGGTTAACCTGTACCACCAGAGAGCTAGGGTTAACATGTACCACCAGAGAGGTAGGGTTAACATGTATCACCAGAGAGGAAGGGTTAGCATGTACCACCAGAGAGCTAGGGTTAACATGTACCACCAGAGAGGTAGGGTTAACATGTACCACCAGAGAGCTAGGGTTAGCATGTACCACCAGGGAGGAAGGGTTAACCTGTACCACCAGGGAGGAAGGGTTAACATGTACCACCAGGGAGGAAGGGTTAACATGTACCACCAGAGAGCTAGGGTTAACCTGTACCACCATAGAGCTAGGGTTAACATGTACCACCAGAGAGCTAGGGTTAACCTGTACCACCAGAGAGCTAGGGTTAACATGTACTACCAGAGAGCTAGGGTTAACATGTACCACCAGAGAGCTAGGGTTAGCATGTACCACCAGAGAGGAAGGGTTAACCTGTACCACCAGGGAGGAAGGGTTAACCTGTACCACCAGAGAGGAAGGGTTAACATGTACCCCCAGAGAGGTAGGGTTAACCTGACCACCCGGGAGGAAGGGTTAACCTGCACCACCAGGGAGGAAGGGTTAACATGTACCACCAGGGAGGAAGGGTTAACCTGACCACCAGGGAGAAAGGGTTAACATGCACCACCAGAGAGGAAGGGTTAACATGCACCACCAGAGAGCTAGGGTTAACATGTACCACCAGGGATGAAGGGTTAACATGTACCACCAGGGATGACGGGTTAACCTGTACCACCAGGGAGGTAGGGTTAACACGTACCACCAGGGATGAAGGGTTAACCTGTACCACCAGGGATGACGGGTTAACCTGTACCACCAGGGAGGTAGGGTTAACATGTACCACCAGGGATGACGGGTTAACCTGTACCACCAGGGAGGTAGGGTTAACACGTACCACCAGGGATGAAGGGTTAACCTGTACCACCAGGGATGACGGGTTAACCTGTACCACCAGGGAGGTAGGGTTAACATGTACCACCAGGGATGACGGGTTAACCTGTACCACCAGGGAGGTAGGGTTAACACGTACCACCAGGGATGAAGGGTTAACCTGTACCACCAGAGAGGTAGGTTTAACATGTACCATCAGGGATGAAGGGTTAACCTGTACCACCAGGGAGGTAGGATTAACATGTACCAACAGGGATGAAGGGTTAACCTGTACCACCAGAGAGGTAGGGTTAACATGTACCACCAGGGAGGTAGGGTTAACCTGTACTACCAGAGAGGAAGGGTTAACATGTACAACCAGAGAGGTAGGGTTAACCTGTACCACCAGGGAGGAAGGGTTGACCTGTACCACCAAAGAGGTAGGGTCAACCTGTACCACCAGGGAGGTAGGGTTAACATGTACCACCAGGGAGGTAGGGTTAACATGCACCACCAGAGAGGTAGGGTTAACCTGCACCATTCAGAGAGGTAGGGTTAACATGCACTAGCAGGGAGGAAGGGTTAACATGCACCAGCAGGGAGGTAGGTTTAACATGTATTACAGGGAGGTAGGGTTAACCTGTACCACCAGAGAGGTAGGGTTAACCTGTACCACCAGAGAGGTAGGTTAACCTGACCACCCGGGAGGTAGGATTAATCTAGCCACCAGGGAGGTAGGGTTAACCTGACCACCAGGGAGGTAGGGTTAACCTGTACCACCAGGGTGGAAGGGTTAACCTGTACCACCAGGGAGGAAGGGTTAACATGCACCACCAGAGAGGTAGGGTTAACCAGACCTGCCGGGAGGAAGGGTTAACCTGTACCACCAGGGAGGAAGGGTTAACCTGTACCACCAGGGAGGAAGGGTTAACCTGTACCACCAGGGAGGAAGGGTTAACCTGTACCACCAGGGAGGAAGGGTTAACCTGTACCACCAGGGAGGAAGGGTTAACCTGTACCACCAGGGAGGAAGGGTTAACCTGTACCACCAGGGAGGAAGGGTTAACCTGTACCACCAGGGAGGAAGGGTTAACCTGCACCACCAGGGAGGAAGGGTTAACATGTACCACCAGGGAGGTAGGGTTAACATGCACCACCAGAGAGGTAGGGTTAACCTGTACCACCAGAGAGGTAGGGTTAACATGTACCACCAGGGAGGAAGGGTTAACATGTACCACCAGGGAGGAAGGGTTAACATGCCCAGCAGGGAGGAAGGGTTAACATGCACCACCAGGGAGGAAGGGTTAACATGCACCACCAGAGAGGTAGGGTTAACCAGACCTGCCGGGAGGAAGGGTTAACCTGACCACCAGGGAGGTAGGGTTAACCTGTACCACCAGGGAGGAAGGGTTAACCTATTCCACCTGGGAGGAAGGGTTAACCTGTACCACCAGGGAGGAAGGGTTAACCTGCACCACCAGGGAGGAAGGGTTAACCTTCACCACCA